CGCGCTACCACTTCCGCCTCGGCCGCGTCGTGCATGCCGCCGCCGAGCTGGACCTGTTCCGCGTGCAGACCACGCTGCTGCTGGGCAACGACCACACCGGCCGCGCCGAGCTGGCCGAGTGGCGCTGGTCGGCGTCCCTGGAGGGCGCCGCGCTGACCGCAGCGCTCGGCGAACTGATCGCGGCGGCACAGGCCCGGGTGAGAGAGCGCCCGGCTGACTTCGGCGACGCCCTGGTGGCCGAGCTGCCCGGCTGGGTCGATGCCGACGGCCGCTCGCCGTTCTGGCAGGCGCTGGGTGCGCGCTTCTACAGCGGCGACCCCGCCGAGGCCCAGGCCCGGCTCGGGGCCGACTGGCGCAGCCACCTCGCGGCGCTGCTGCCGCGCCAGACGGTGTACCTGTCCTTCCTCGGCTCCGAGGCCGAGGCCCGCGTGCTGGATGTGCCCGCGGCCTGGGCACCCGTGCGTGCGGCGCTCACGGCGGCGGGCTTCCACCCGCCGGAGCATGCCCGCATCGACGACGGCGGCCCCGTGCTCGCCTGGCCGGTGCCGCCGGGTTGAGGCGTCAGTAGATGTCGACCTTGACCTTGTCGACCGTGTACTTGCCGCTGCTGTAGTAACCCTTGGTCGTCGCATCACGCGTGAAGCGCAGCTTGATGACCGGGGCGCCGCTTGGGTAGCTCGGGCCGCTGCTGTAGACCGGCACCGGCGCGGTGCCGATGTTGGTGGTGGGCGTCTGGTCCACGACGCGCGTCAGCGACTTGGAGGTTTCGAGCGCCGCGAAGATGTCGCTCGAGTCGTAGTAGCTGCTGTAGTAGTAGGCGGTGCCGATGGCGCTCTTGCTGCTGGTGACGACCTTGGTCGAGTAGTTGTACTTGTCGCCGGGGGTGAGCAGGCTCACGCGCAGGCCGTTGACCTTGTAGTAGGTGCCGGTCTGGACGCTGGCCGCGGCGGTGTCGACGATGAGCAGCTTGTTGGCGCCATAGACGGTCGCCGTCTGGGCCGAGGTGTCGACGACGACGCCGGTGTTCTCGTCCACGCCGAAGCCCTGCTGCACGCCGAGGCTGCGCAGCGCGGCCGCGAGGCGCCCGAGGCGGCCGGAGCGGCTGTCGAAGTGCGTGTCGCTCAGGATGCCCGCGGGCAGGAAGCCCAGGGCCTTCATCGTGGCGCCGTTCTCCAGGTAGCGCAGGGCCGTGGTGCCGTCGCGCGTGTCGCCCAGCGTCTGCCAGCCGGTCACCGGCGTGCTGGGCAGGTCGGCGCCGTAGTAGAGGTAGCCGTAGCTCACGCCGGCGGCATGCATCTTCACGTTGAGCGCATGGTTGCCGGCCGAGTCGCCGGCGATGACGATGCTGCCGCTGCCGTTGTTCCAGCGCGCGCGCAGCGCGGCGGCGATGCCGGAGTCGGCGCCGCTGTCGGTCAGGAAGGTGCGGATGATCTTGGCCTGGTCGCCGCCGACGAACCACACGGCGTCGGCCTGGTTCAGGATCGCGATGTTGGCCTGGCCCTCGGGGGTGCTGGCACTGGCGTGCACGCCGTAGTTGTCGACGTGCGCGGTGATGAACTTCGGGCTGAAGCCGTGGGTCTGGAAGAGGTTGTAGTAGCCACGCTTGAGCGAGGTGGTGGACGTGGCCGGGATGTCGTTCTGGAAGGCGTCCAGCCCGGTGGCATAACTGTCCTTCGCGGCGGTGACGACGGCGATGCGCGGACAGGCGGTCGTGGCCCAGTTGGTGCCGCAGTTGGCGGTGCTCGTGATGACGGGCGTGAAGCTCGCGTCGCGCCCGGTGGCCTTGCGCAGGCCGTTGACGAAGAGGTCGACATTGGCGTCGTCGTAGGCGCCGCCGGACAGGAACAGCTTGCCGGCCGAGGCCGGGGTGGCGGCCAGCGCGAGCAGCAGGGTCCCAACGAGGGAGGTGATGGCTTTTTTCATGGCATTCCAGGCAAGACAGGGCGGCGCCACAGCGGCAGCCTCGACCCGGAAGCCACGGTAGTCAGCACGCCGCCGGCCGGGTAGACGGGCACTTGCGGCAGGGCGACATGCATTTGCGTCCGCGTGACGGGTGCGGGAATGTCCCGGTCGGGTTGTCACGGAGCGGCCGTCCTTAATCCTGGCCTCACTTTCGCCTCATCGAGCCCTCACCCAGCCTGCCTAGAGTCGCCGGCAACGGGCTGCACCGCAGCCTGCCTCAGGAGATCGTGATGACCCGCACCGCCAAGACCGCCCTCACCGCCACCGCTGCCGCGCTGCTCGGTGCGGGTGTGACCCTGTCCACCACCGCCTCCGGCTGGGGGCTGCCGGCGTGGCTGCAGGCCAAGACGCCGAGCACCACGTCGGCC